CTCCTCCCAGAGCCCAGCAGCCACCATTCTTCTCTGCTTCTGAGTTTGACTATTTAGATTCCACGTACAAGTGAGACTTCCTATACTCTTGAGAGCACTTTTATTTTATCCATGTTATCCCGCCAGGAATGTTCTGTACCTGCCTTCCCCATACAGCTGTGTAGGCCCAAGAGATCCTGGATTCAAAAGCCTTAGTCTGCCCCCTTAGTCTGGGGACTGGATTCATGTCTTTCACTTGAACCATTAAAATGTTACAACTAACTATACAGTAGTGTATCTTGCATTAAATCTACATGGGGTGCTTTTGAAAATAACCCTGCCTAGGAATTCAGAAGTGGAAGGTCAAATTCCGTTATCCAACTAATTATGTTATGAAGGTATGTCACGTAACTTCTCTGGATTCATTTCCTGGTTCATTGCCAACACTAGACTATATCATCTCTTTCCCTTCCAGCTCTGTATCAGTGGATCAGAGTAAAAAAGAATTGTTGCTTTTTTATAGGCAACTTTATTGTAATATGGTGACCAAATGAGCCACTGTAGCGTGTGGCAGTACCCCTAGAATCATTCTGGTATGTTTTTGTTCATAAATAGCAATCTGTTGTTACAATTAACTACGTAATGTCACTTGTTCAACCTTAAGAGCAATAGTTTTCTTATGAACTGAAAAACACCTTTGTATTATAAAATGTGTTATAGATGCACTTAACATCTGATGAGACTTCTTCAATTTTATTAACAAGGTCATTTAACCTTCCAAACAAGTAGTGGAACCTCAAAAATAAGTGTAACAGCCCCCTTTAAAACAATTTCAAGAAACCACCTTTCTTTGATTTTTAGTTTCCTCATGTTTCAAAATGAAATTTTACCTATAGTGAATTCTTCCAAGGGAAGGAAACTGCTTATTCAAAGAGCAGTAAGGGATGTAAATTAGTATTCTTAGGGAATTTGAGAATCATGTAGCAATAGCCTTGCTTTATCTTTTGAGAGTAGCACTTCATTTTCTCTTGTTCCTTCTAGCTTCCTATTTCATATCTGTCACTGATGGTTTTTACTAGATTGGCCAGTTTTTATTATCCAAAGTAATATTAATTATAATTACTGGCTAAAGTTCTATGTGCATATTACGTAAGCACAATCCATAGACCATTCATTACTTTGAAATGTCTAATGTGAAACTTTTCCTATAATACTATCTTCTTTGGTTACGATAGTTTAATTTTTGTAATTGATTGTATATTGAAAGATTGATACCCTTTTCCTCCTGTCATTTTTTTCCTTTATATTTACAGTTTTAAAAATAAAAGAAAATGTCTAGAATCTCTGTGCTGTCTGATTCAGTAGCCACTAGCCATAAGTGACTGTTTAAATTTAAATTGGTTAAAATTAAATAAATTAAGATTTCTGTTCCTCCATCTCAGTAGCCATATAGCCACATGTGGCTAGTAGCTAACCCTGTTGGATAGTACAGATAAAGGATATTCCCATCATCACAGAAGTTTGATTTGACAGCTGTGGATTAGATGTTTTCTAAAAGGAAAGATCAAAACTGGAAGTCAAAAGTAAATTTATTTTATTGTATTGTATAAATGGTTCCAATGCAAAGATATCTACCAGTAACTTTTTGTAGTTTTTCTCCTTTTGCCAGTTTGGAATATATTCTGGTTGTGATTGATCAGTTTGTAAATATGTAAAATATATCATTATATAATAGATCTGGGAGTTTTTTCTTCCTGATATCACTTCATATTTGTAACGAATAGGCAGCTTCTCGAGACACAATATTATTGAAAGAGAATGTTACGTGTTTAGAAGTTTCAGAAGTTTGGTAGTTCACATTTGATTTCAGTTAAAAGAGATGTTTTGTTAGTTTGTGGTTTTAATGAATTATAGGTAATATTATTAAGTAAATATCATATAATACATGTAATAATACTGGCCTGAGAAGTGAGCTTTTAATAGTGTCTAATTTTTATTTAATCTTGCGAAAGATTGAGAAAGTAAATCCTTTATTTTATGCAATTTATAGTTTCATGCATGAGTTGTTGACTTAAGAGCTTTGACAGATGGGACAAAGGAAAAAAGCCAAACTGAGCAATGGATGTTTTGGCGGGATTAAGAGGATTGGTTGGGGAATAAGAAAATCCAGTGTCAAGGGACCGCAGGGGTGAACCTTAGAGGCTGAAAGTGACTGAGAGGATGGCACATTGTGGTGTCTCTGGAGGATTTTCTTGGGATTGATGAGAATAATTTAACAGTGACCTCGCTTTCCTGGCAATCTGCTCAGCTTATATGTCCATGTAGGCATGCCGTGCCGGTGTTGGCAGCAAGGTCACCCCTGAGCTCCATAAGGCAAATGACAGCAATTGCTTTTGCTCCTTTTGCCTATTTCTATTTCCTAATCAGGAGATGAGCCCTGGGGCATTAATAATGCTGAAATTTCATCCCAGGAGATGTGAGAACAGTGTAGCAAACAGAAATCCTTGCTGCCTAGGTTTGGGGGTTTTCTTGTTTTGCTTTTTGTGTGTTTTGCCTTGTTAGATCCTGTAGGTCTTAGCGATAAGTAAAGCTCTTGAGTTTTAAAAAGTTTGGGGTTTTGTTTCACGGTATGTGGGATCCGAACCCTCGGACGGGAGCGCCACCGCGCTTCCCAAGCGGCGCACAATCCAGTGCGCCACCGGGCCGGCCTATAACAATGGTTTTAATTCTGTGGTACGTTCAGCTTTAAAAACTGAATGTATCTGGATGACAGAAATTTGAAAATTAATCAAAAATTTAAGTCTGGGGCAAGATTATTGTGTGAAATTTTAAATTTTAATATAACAATGGTTTTAATTCTGTGGTACGTTCAGCTTTAAAAACTGAATGTATCTGGATGACAGAAATTTGAAAATTAATCAACCAAATGATAATGGTGTTAGTAATATGCTTTAGTTTATATTTGAAATATACAGTGCTGAAAATAAATGTTCATTTTTGTTGCTGGAAGAATAGTTTTACATTTTATAATTATGGTGAATGTAGAAAAAAGAGGAAAAAGTATCCAGCCTAGGATACAGCAGAACAATGCAGGGCATGCAGTTATTTTAGTCATCTAATATGTCAGCATTCAAGAATCTGAACCGATTGTTTAAAAAAAATCTTGTACTTTGTTTCTTTTGTTGCTCATTTCCAACTTTGTCATCTGTCAGAATGCAAAAAAAAATTATCCTTCTATAACCATTGACAGGATAACACAAAAGCTGTCTCCAGGTCGATATTTTGCAGCAATATTTTTAACATACGAACAGTAGTTTTTATAATTTCACCTTGGTGCTCAACCATTTATTATCGTATCAGAAGCATGTCAGTAATTCCTTTCTAAATGTCTGCTTCTTTTAGCGCTGAGACCCACATCAAGGGCTTCACACTGAACGATGCTGCCAACAGCCTCCTCATCATAACGCAAGTTAGGCGGGATTATTTGAAAGGTATGTCACAATGCTTGACCTTTACGTCACATTAATGCCTCTGCAGATTTTTCTTGTAACGCCCTTCGAATACTTGGATAAAGGAGTCCATTTAGCAAATTACCTGCTTATCAAGAGCCTTTTGTGGTAGCTGAGAGACGTAAATTACTGTACATGCATTTATAATACAGCTTGAATATGAATGTACTTGTCATTTGACCACTTAGTCCAGTTTCCATTCCATTTAACACAAGATGGGTTTTCTTAAGATGAATCACAGCTCTTCAGACATGCAAAATTTGTGTTCTAGAATGAGAGAAAGTACAGGCTTTCAAGTGCGTTAAAATTCACAGCACAAGTCATTTTGCTTTGGAAATTAACATACTTTAGAGCATCTGAAACAATTCCCAGCAGTTGTTTCTCGCATATTGTGTTGGTTGTATGTGAGGTAGCAAATGAGTTAAATTGAGTGTTAAATGTGTGGGATTGTGCATCAAATGATTATAATATTGATTTTTAAAACTTAATTTAATACTTTTTTTAATAGTTTGTAATACCAACAGCATGAAAATACGGCGTTTGTTTGAACTTTAGAGTTTTTAAATTAATGTTAAGAGGATAACACCGGAAAGATGTGGAAATGACTTTGGGGAGGATTGGGATGGGGGTTGTCAGTCTAGTAGAGGCTGTTCACAGATTTGCAGTGGGATGGATTTGGATCTGGAGGTCTTATGAATGAGCTCCAAAGGGGGAAAATGATGAATCTCTTAAATTTAGGTAAGTAGCTCTTCACGTTAGGTTTTACATTTGAATTTTAGTCAATACAGAAACACCACTGTTTTGCCAGTGCAACAAAACCCGGTTAAGAGATGTTTCAGGGAGGTTGAAAAAACTCTTTAACCATTAAATATGTTACCTTGTTTCTTCCTTAGTCTGTGATAATGGTGCTATTCTTCACTTGCATGTTTATAAAATAATTTCACATCCCTAAGAGGAAGTTACTCTAATTGTGCAGCTTTAATGTTGCCTATAATACCTAAATGTGCTGGTCTTCACCTGTCTTCCTCATTGATTAAAACGGAATATGTTTGTGGTAATTTCTCCCTTTGCAAAATTTCTACCTCAGCATTCCATAGCCAGGGCCCATCCAACTAGACAGTCTTTTGGGATAGCCTTAAGTGGTAATTGAGTGGTATAAGGGATTGTTATTAAAACTTTATTTTCATGTATCCTCACTTCTAGATTGTTATTAAAACTTTAAAAGCTTTTATTTCCAACAGAAAAGACTTTGTCAAGTTAATATTTTATGTAGAAATGATAAACAATTTTATTTATTTATTTATTTTGTCCTTTTTGAGACCGGCCGCACCGCACTCAGCCAGTGAGCGCACTGGTGGTCATCCCTGTATAGGATCCGAACCTGCGGTGGGAGCGCTGCACTCTCCCGAGTGCGCCACGGGCTCGGCCCAGAAATGATAAACAATTTTAAAGCATTGAAAAATTAAACTTACTCCCCATATAAATGAGCTAATTTTCAAAAGTAGCTTATGTTTCTGTGGACATGGAGATAAGAACAAAGCAGTTTTTTAATTTCAGGGAGTTCATTTTTGAACTGAATCTGACCTGGATTTGTTTAACTTGACTGCAAGCTACCCTTTACTTGTATGTTAGTGTCCCAAGAAAACTTCAGGAAAGTACACAATGTTAATTTCTCAACTACTCTTCTCAGCTAATCAGCTCAAGTGAAGGTTGTCTAAGAGAAGGAGCCATGAGCCCACTGTTCCCCTACAACCTCCTCTACCTTCATCCCCATCCCCGCTCCTGAGCATCACCACAAGCTAATCTATTGTTGGAGTAAAGTGATCATCAATGGTGTTGGCCCTATTTCCATCTCCTTATTTTGCTCCATGGCTGACTAGAGCTGCTGATTTTTAAAATCATCTTTTGTTCTTCTGCCCTTGTCTCTTTTTCCTTAACCCCATCTAAAGTAGGCAGAAAAAATAAAGACAAATCTTAATGTAATTTTATAAACTAATGCTGATGTAGAATATTACTAGCTGATATGTGGCACCTGTGCAGTATAATCAGTATCACTAGTGAGTAGTTGAGTAAATGTTGGAATTGGGTGACAGTGGGAAAGGAGTTGGGAGGAGGGATGTGGACGGGTACCATTTTTGTTGTCCCTTAAGTCATTAACTGTACAGAAGGCAAGTCCTATATGAGTGTATGATTTTAGGTCACAGTGTTCCTTTCCCTCTTTGGATAGACATTGTTTTCTCCTTGCCCCTCCTCTCTTGCATGCATGCACCTATGGATACAAGGTCTGGGATGGTTAGGCTCTTGGATTGGTATCAAACAATATGACCTTGACTTTGAGTAAACTAAACTCTGTGCTTCAGTATCTAATCTGTAGTATTGGTACTTACCTCAGAAGAGTAGTTGTGAATGTAGATGCTTAGTACCATAACTGGTATGTAATAAATGCTCAACAAAGGTGGTAGAAGCTCATTAAGTTTGAGTTACCATTATCATCATCATTAATCTTATTTTTGTTGTTATTATTTTGATCTACTAGTGGGAAGATTTTCCCTAGCTGACAGTATTTTTGTTAATAAGAATATTCCAGAATTGATTATCTGTGTATGACCACCAGTTCATCGAGCTTATTTTCTATAGATTATATTTTTAAAATAGTATAAAAACACCTTTTGTTTTCTGTGTGTGCATGTGTATTTATAAAATTTTATTGAATATGCTTTTTAAACTATTTTCTCTTTTCCCCATTTGAGAATTACTGGTTTAGATTGTTTGTAGATTTGGAGTAATTAAATTGTTTTTTCAGTAATGAACACTAAATTTATCATGTCTTTTACTGTATTGTTTTTAATAGCCTGTTTAATTATTACCCTTTCCCTGTTCCTCTGTGAAAGATACGCTGTTTTTATTTGGAAAGCTGCTTTTAGAAGCCTTACTTTTGTCTAGGTTACGTTGCTTTAGTTACTATAAAGCCTTGAAGTATTTTTTGGAAATGGTAATGGTGATTGTTATGCTAAGTATTACATCTTCTTCCTGCCCCTCCCCCCACCGACCACTTTATTTAATATAATGATTTCACTATGCTTGCAAATAAGTCAGTAAATTAGAACAATATTCGTTATTTATTCATAATTATTTAAGTATGATATTTTTAAAAACAAACAAACCAAACTCCATTAACTATATTCATGGGAATTTGGATGATCTTTATTTTCTTCGAAAAATGAGTTCAAGAAAATATCTGCAAGGTATCTAATCATGTAAAATAAATTTGTTAGTGTGAAAGTTATATGTTCCAGTGGCCGCTCCTGTGTGGTTGATCCTGTTTGGACTAGAACGAGACATTGTTTTCAAGAAACAATCCTTGGAATATTAAAAGTTTTTGATAATCGTGTATCCAAGTTAATAAAATCTGGGAAAGTATGAATGGGGGTAGAATTTGCATATTTTTGGAAACTCTTTAATTTTTAAAATTATTCCTTATTTATATTTCTCTGAGCTTATCAACTTTCTTGAAATTAGTCACTTAAATGTTATCCATGAATGGAACTCGTATTGTCATTAACATTTGTATTTTCTCTGTGACTTAAAGAAGAAAATTTCTGGTCTCTAATATCTTATAGATAGTGAAATTAATCATTTAAAAAAGATTTCTCATAAAGTATTAATATTTTCTGTAACCTAGAATTAATTTTTTATGGCTTTTGTGTATAGGCATTTGGTGCTCATATATAAAAGCTTGTTTTCAAAATGCATTAAAATTAATATGGATCATATAAGAAAAACTGTCTTCTGCTTTTCTGTTTTAGAGGCTCTGACAACGCTAAAAACAGCCTTAGATCTGCAGCAGACCCCTTCTAGGGTAGCAGTGACTCGCCTTATCCAGGCATTTGCCTTGAAGGGTAATGTTCAAAGCATAGAAGAAATTCAGAAGATGGTAAATGGACTCGAAGACTCCATTGGACTTTCAAATATGGTTTTCATCAATAACATTGCTTTGGCACAAATAAAAAAGTGAGTATTTTCAAGCTTTCTTTTCCTCCATTAGCTACTGGAATGAATATTACCTCAAGTGCTACCTTTTAAAAACTCTTTTAGGCATTTGGAAACCATGTCAGCTGCAGAGAAAATTTTGATGCCAGTTGCTGATTATTCCTTAGCTATCAAGGAATAATTATATGCTGGAAAATATGTTGTATCTTTAAATTAAGTCTTAGAATAAACCACACTTACTGACTTCATAAAATTTGCTCCACAGTTGCTAACTTCTCATTCATACACCCAGTCTCATGTTGAAACACTTTGTTACAAAAGTGAAAAATATGTTTTGTCAGTGATACTGGAGAGTGACACTCTTCTAGAAGTGAAACAGAGGGCTCAGCAAGCTTGTTAAAAATATGCATTTCCGGGAACTTCTCTGGCGAACTGTCAGCTCGGGTCCGTGTGCCCTTTCAGGGGCCACACTGCAGAGAGATGACTATATTGAATTGAACCACGTCTCTGCATCGTAATCCTGGCTGTTATAACCTTCTACCTGAGTGTGCCACAGACAATGAAAAAGAATTGGAAAAAGGCTCAAAGGTTGGACTAAAGGCTGGGAGACTAAGAGTGGAGGATGACAGGTGGAGAGTATGGAGAGAAGAGGAGACCTGGCAGAGCAGATGGAAGAAGAGAGGGGCTGACAGAGGGGAGAGAGTCAAGGTCTCAGCTCATATATCATTTCTTCAGAGATGCCAAGTGGCTCCCAGATATTCTCTATCTCTGGCCATGTAGAAGACCCTCAGCTCCATGAGGCAAGAACATGTCTGTCTTGTTCATAGTTAATGTCCCAGAGGCCTAGTGCATCCGAGACCTTCAGTAAATAATTTCTGAAAGGAAGAACGGAATGTGTGTCATCTGGTACTTTCTGTTGGTTACATTTATTTTTAACTATGTGTTGAATGAGGAGGAAGAGCAAGCCTGGCTTTCTGGATGGGGGCTGGGTGGCAGATGGATACAGCCAACACACACGTGGGCATAGAGTAAAGATAATCTTCCAAGCAGTTTGCTTGTTAGTGGTCTGGTTACAGCTTGGTGAGGGAAGAGGTTAGAAATAATCTGCGACTTAAAATTTGCGAGAATTTTGTCACTTTCAGTCAACTACAGTGCAACCTCTTCTAACTCCACTCCTAATTCCATCTAGTTCATTGAATGAAGACATCCAAATGCATTCAAACCCTTATGTGTTCCTTTTGTAATAATTCAACAGCAAACGGGCTGGTTGGTCAGCTCAGTTGATTAGAGTGCAGTGTTGATAACACCAAAGTCAAGGGTTCAGATTCCCGTACCAGTTAGCTGCCAAAACAGAACAAAAATAATCAACAGCAAAAAATAAAATTCTACACAAACCAAGCTATTTAAAAAGTTTTGTGGAGAGGAAGGTTATTCCAACCACCACATATCACACAGGCTGAACTGTTCAACAAAGGACTACCAAATGGAAATTGGAACCTGCTCCAAGTTTCTTTTTTTTTTTAAAAGATGACCGGTAAGGGGATCTCAACCCTTGGCTTGGTGTTGTCAACACCGTACTCAGCCAGCGAGCAAACCGGCCATCCCTATATAGGATCCGAACCCGTGGCCTTGGTGTTATCAGCACCGCACTCTACCGAGTGAGCCACGGGCCGGCCTTGCTCCAAGTTTCTAACATCAAGCCAGGAATAAAAGGAGTCTGTCACAGTCTCCACATCTAACGTGAAACCTGACAATTCAGAGCAGTGATTGCCCTACCTTGGCTGGCCATAAATATTTCCTTGTCTGAAAAATCCATGCCTGCCAGATTGTCAGAACAATGAAATATTATTTGAAAATATCTAAGTTTATGCAAAGGCAGAGAAAGACTAACAAATCAAAAATAAAGATATAATGAGGATATTAGTTTTACTAATAACATCTACTTTAAAAGTTATTTGAGGTTCTGCCTCAAAAGTTTCCAGACCTCTGATCATGTTTATGGGGAGCAAAAATATTACGTTTGCATGTTTCTGATAAATGAATAAAATATGGAAAGAACTAGTTAATTGTTTCAAGAATTACATGAGGGATTTTGCCTCTAAAAGAAAAAAAAATATATGCATTTCCATATTCCCCACCCTTCTACCCATCCACTCCATCAACACACACCCCCAAAAAGAGGGGAGGTATTTAGAGTTGATTTTCTTTCTTTCTTTTTTTTTTTTTGTCCTTTTTGAGACTGGCCGCACCGCTCTCAGCCAGTGAGCGCTGTGAGCGCACCGGTCATCCCTACATAGGATCCGAACCCGCGGCGGGAGCGCTGCTGTGTTCCCAGCGCCGCACTCTCCTGAGTGCGCCACGGGCTCGGCCCTAGAGTTGATTTTCTTACCACCATCTCTACATTCCCTGCCGAGAAACACTGTTGTATAATTAAATACAGACTTGATTTTTATTAACCTCACTAGCAGTGTACACTTTGTCCAAGTTAAAGATTTACGGGGATAATTATGGAATTGATACTCTTAATGCCTTTAGAAAAAAGTGTTCTTTAGTAGTTATTCTTAAAATATATTCCATGGGACATGATATTAAAATATAATGTTTGGTTTCGCAGGGTTTTTTGTTCCTATTTCTTTAAACAGAGAAACAGTTTTGTTTTGTTTTTACCTTTTAAAACTATTTCCTCAAACAGAACTTCAAACTTTTTTTTCCCTTTAATAAGAAAATGTGGTTGTTTTAAGTTAGAAGATCAAGGAACTTATCCAAGTAAGAGCTGAATGAATTTTAAAGTATTACATATAAACACAGTGTTTCATGTGATGTGGAGAACATGTTTTTATTCACTGTAATTCTCTAACTAAAACACATAAAAAAATGTATAATAACAGGGTGTTAATTTTTAGTTAGAGAATTTTTATGCTTAATGTAATAATTTCAACATATTATTGATTATTTGGTTATAGAGTGTCAGTCATAACAGTAAAGGATCAATTATAGATTACCTTAACCAAAAAGATAGTTATAAAGATCATTTTTATTATAACTTGTTGAAAAGGCCACTCAATTGATTTTTTTCAATGTAAAAAGTGTGGGGGTTTTTTTGTGAGAATTTGAATATAAATTATTTTCTAAATGTATATGATACCTGAAAAAAAATTGATGTGACCATGGGTTAGAGACATGAAAATATGCCTTTTGAAGACGTTGTTAGCATTATTAGGAATTCTGAGCTGTTATATATCTTTACCTTATGCAGTAGAGACCAGTTGTGGATTGTAAAGCCAAAATTACAGCATTTAAACAAGTTTTCATTTTACTTCCAAAGAGCTGCAAAATTAAATGAGATAATTAAGATACAGTATTTTTTTTTCAGTTGAAACATAATTGATTGTACACATCTGTGGGGTACAGCAGTGAATATCAGCACCTGTGTGCAATACATGATGTTCATATCAGGATGATTAGTATATTCAACATTACACAGTGTAATAATTTTTGTAGACCTTTACCAATTCCACACTAACCCCCCTCTCCATCTCCCTTTCTCACCTAGATACAGTATTTTTTAAGTTATCTTCATTAATTCTTCTATGTGTTAGTTGTTTGATCTTGTCTCTAGAGCAGTGTTTTAAAATAAGCAACTATTTCAACTAGTATAAATAAAATAAGCAACTACTGTAGCATAAGCCACCTAGTGATTGCTTCTTTTTCCCAAGTGTGATTGTGTTAAAGTTGCATAGCGTTTTTTATCTGGTTAATTATAAATATATTTCCTTTTTTTCCTAAAATATTTGCATGAATGGATCTAAAAGTAAGTTTTCATATAAAAACTGCCTGCAATATTAATATAAAAGCAAATATTTCTTGATAATTTATTTGTTTTCTTTTATAGCAATAACACAGATGTTGCCATAGAAAACATTGAAAATATGCTTACTTCAGGGAATCATACCATGGAATCCCAATACTTTGGCTTGGCATACTTATTCAGAAAAATAATAGAGGAGCATTTGGAACCAGCAATTGAGAAAAGTAAGTTAGTTGTTTTTGCTAAAAGACACACGTTTTCTCTCTGGTGAGGCTGGACCCGATTTCTTTGGTGGATGAGTTATACCACTGTTTTAATGAAAGATTTTTCTTACCTGTCATTTTTTCAGTAAGCATCATGGCGGAGAGATTGGCCAATCAGTTTGCAGTTTACAAGCCTGTCACTGATCTTTTCCTTCAGCTTGTGGATGCAGGCAAGGTGGATGATGCCAGAGCTCTCTTGCAGGTAATAACCCTCCGCTCATGGAGCATTGGGGCTTGTGGCTTGAGAAACTGAGAAATTACTAGACATAGGTGTGTGGTGGAATACCGGAAATGAAGTGTGGTACTGTGGGCACATTTAAATTCATTGTGAATCAAGGTCTTGTGACAAGAACTAGATTGTAGATTGTTGGTTTTAAAGATGCCAAATTGGACTAGAAATGTCCTTTGAATTAAGAGGAGGTGGGGGTGGAGGAGACTGGTTTTTGCTGAAATGATTTAAAGACAAATGTTTTTGTGCAGATAGGTAACAAAACAACAATTCCTTTGATTTTCTACTTTAATTTCTCTAGTGCTCTAAATACTATACGTCACCATGGCAACAGTTTGCCAACACAAAGTAGGAAATGTTTGCTTTTCAAGTACAGCTTCTCACTTGAATAGTCAAACATTCTCAGTGCCTTATTTAAGGTTTATTAAGAGTTGAATTTGCTTTCTATTCACTTATGTGTCACAGACACATTAAATGACAAATGCAGGTCTCTGTGGCCCGCACTCTCAGTTAAATTAGCAATCTTCAGGAAAGGAGACAACTTGCATTCATGCCATTTTAACAGCACTAAATATAAAGCTGCGCCAAGTGCCAACAGAACGGTGGGTGATCAGAGCTGCCACTGGCAATGTACACAAACAGGCACCACTGAGGAGCCCCTTCCCAGCAGGTGGCAGTCAAGCAGTCACCATGATCCCTCCAACAGCTGTGTTTGTGTAGACTCCCTGTGTCAAATTGAGGCCGGGGACCAATTTCTAATAGTAAATAGTATTATATTCACTTACATTTTTACCAGCTGCAAAAAATCTTTAGTAGATAGGGATGGTAAAACTGTACCCCTTTCCTTGAGCTCCAGTTTTGATCCATAAAGTTCTAGTTTGACAGTAGAATCCAAGCCATTTTTAGAAGAAATTCCTGAAAAATTTTCTCAGTGTTAACAGATTTATAACATGTGTAAATTGGTACTGCTTTGTAAGGTGCCTATTTTATTCCTGGATGGAGAGAAATTCTAGCTAATCAGGAAATTTTTTGTTTGGTTTGTTTCATTTACTATTGTCTCTCTCTCTCTCTCTCTCTCTCTTTTTTTTTAAAGAAAAAGGCAATTTATGATAGATAGGGATTTCAGGAATCTTTTCATTACTTTAGCTTGCTGCCTTTAGTGTTAAAGGTTCTATCTTGAAAGGAATATACTCTTATGCTTTATCTTCATGTGTACATATCTAAGTATGTACTAGGAGTGGAGCATATAAATATCTAATTATATGTGTGATGGTATTCATTCAGTTTCAACACATTCTTTTGGTAGTTCTGTAGAATGTGGCACTTGGTGCTTCACCCCCCACCCCACCCCCAGCTTGTTCTGAGCTGTGATTGTCAAGGCTCTTCCTAGTAAGAGCCTTGGGTGGGAGACAGCAGGGATGTTACCTGATGCTCTCAGTGCTGCATTTACCTTTCCAGAGTTTGAGGTTTGAGATGATAAACGCTTCATCCATCCCTTACCTGCTTGTCAAATAGTAAAAGCTTGTTCTTGCTGTAGTTAAGAATACTTTATTCACAGATGTCGAAAACATCAGTTTTAAATGTAAATGTTCTGTGTGTCCCCAAAAGTTCTTTTTATACTGTTCGTTTTAGTATGACAGTGTTTTAAAGCTTTGAAGGAGCAATGTGCTTTTAGAAACTTAAGAAAGTGACATCTGTGATGAGTGTAAACTAAAATATTGTCTTGCCATATTTGATTTTACTGTAGCATCTAAGATTGGATAGACACTTGATTTATCTGGTCTGTCATATAAACTTTTTTTTTTTTTTTTTTAGTTTAACTTTTGTCTCTTTCTCAAGCACTGGCTGTCTGTTGAAATGAAAGCCTTTTATAAAATAGAGAGATTGAAATCAGTCCTTTTGTATGCATAAGTGTAGGTAATTATACTTTAAAGAGAACTTGCTTTGTACATTTTAATTTTTATAAAGAAACGAGCAGTTATCTCCCTGACACCTTATTAAATGTATAATTAACCTTATGATCCCTAGCTCACTTGTGAATGCTTGGCAGCATAATTGGAGAGGAATAGTGTTTCTTTTTTCCTCTTTCTTCGCAGTCCTAAACCTTATTCTGTGGTTGTTGAAGCATTAGTTTAATTTTTCCCTTTTCTTTTTAAACAAACTTTATACTTACAATGCCAAGGACATCATTCACCAAATCTTGGCATAGCTTACGCTTGTTTTCTTTTTTCTTGCCTTAGAAAAAAATGGTCGACTATTTGGCCTTCCTGTTGATAATGATGCACTACTATGTTATTGTGAACTTTCTTAATTGGAAATATTCTCCTTGGTATGCTTGTTTATAAAAAACCTTTACTTACTGAATAATGTTTTAATTTTTAGAGATGTGGTGCAATTGCTGAACAAACCCCAATTTTGTTGACATTCTGTATTAGAAGTGCTCGGAAACCAGGAAAGGTACTGTGCCTTACTTCTTTAAAAGTCAGTAATGCCCTAGGTATCTTCCTCAAAGGTATTGAGTTTAATGTAAGAGTTTGTTGGTTCAGGTCTTTATCTAAAATCACTATAGAGACTGAAGACTTTGCTTGTTGATACAGAGTCAGTTCTGGCTTCTTAGTTGTGCTGGCAACACAAAACAAGTTCATATAGTGAATCTCCATTAGTGCGGTTATGATTGAGAGCCCTAGGAAAGGGCCCCTAGAAATGGAAGATAAAAGAATCGTGTTGCTTAGGTCACCAAAAGAGACTTAGAGTGTTGCTTAGGTCACCAAAAGAGACTTAGAGTGTCTTCTGTCAGGTGACTACCACTGAAGAGTGTCTTCTATCAGGTTGCTACTTTTGACCACTTATCAGGTATACATCATCAGGCAGATGAGCCATTTGGCTTTAAAATTAGTATGGTACCACAAATTAATGTTCTCCTGTGGATGGGTATGTAACAGAACAAAGTCCTATTTTTGATTTTTTTTTTTCTTAAGAATAAAAGCATATTTCGAAAAAAAAAATTTTTTAGATCTAATTATACCTGTTGAGCACCAGAAACTCCATTGTTAGTTTTATATGGGTATGTTGTGAAGTTTCAAACAGAGTGGGTTGTAATGCTTGTTTTATGTAAAACATTTAAGCTGTTTCCATTCTGAGAGGTCTAGTTTTCCTTAATTTCTGCACACTTTTCCTATGTATACCCACACTTTAAAAAATTTTACCTAATTGCACTTTTTATCTCTGACTTACAATGAACAACTTTTAGAAAATATTTAGTTGCCTTTTTCCCCCCTTTCAAAGAGTCTATTTTTTAAAATTTGAGATACTAAGTATAAGAAATCCAAAAAGCACTTGTCAGTCCAGATGTGGGACTGTGTCCATTTCGTACTGTCTTGCTCAGGAGATGGGACAGGCAATGTATGGTAATATATCTGCTTAGAGCATTCCTCCCAGAAGACTTTAAAATGCAAGAAGTCCTGGAAAGATATAGGTCTAAATGTGGATTAACTGAATGAACATGCAAAAAAGTGAGTTAGGATTTTTAAAATGCCAGTTACAGTGCCCCACTGTGTGACAGTAAAGTAGTTAAGCAAGATTCAGCTTCTCTTGGTGAAATGGGGACAGGACATAAATGTATATAAAATTCATCATCGATTTATCCAGTAATACTGGAGTGTGCCTGGAAATATTTGTTGGTTATTCATTAGGGCGTGGCAGTTCTGTATTCACTACAGGAAATAAAACCATAGTGTGTTTACATACTCCTGGAAGCAATCAAGTAAACATTCCAGTGAGATCCTGGAAATGCTTTATGTATGTACCAAATGGGGAACCCTTAACAATGTTTGGCTGAATTCTTAATATTTCATTGAAAAATTTTGGCACCTTAAAGATACAGTCATTACTTCTTGTACCTTTGAGATCTCATAATTTCTTGGTATGGTTACCAGTTGACAAAAGAAACAATCTTTATAATACTTTAGAATAATATTCATAGAAATATAAGTGGAATTGCATTAGCTTTTGAAAATGCTGATTTGTTTTCCCTGTAAATTATTGAATCAACATCAAATAGTAAGAAATATAGAAGGGTCAGTTGGTCGGAGTATGGTATTGATAACACCAAGGTTAAGGGTTTGGATCCCTGTGCTGGCCAGCCACCAAAAAAAATTTTAAAAATAAAATGAGCAGGCAGTTCTGTTGTAATTGTCAAGATTTCCTGATATAATGTTGATGTATTAGTGTTCTGTTTCACTCTTCTTTTGAGTTTGTGGTAATGTTACCTGTATTTAATCCCCTAGGCACCAACTCTGAAATCTTTGTTAGAACTGATTCCGGAATTAATTGAAAAGGAAGAAGCATACGCTTCTATCATGAAAAGCTACGGTAATAAGTTTAATCTGACTATATTATTTAAATGATTTAAATATTTGTAGTATAGTCAGCTAAGTCTTAGTCTTCAGCTCAAAGGCAGTAATACTAAATACCATATAGTTACTTATAAATAATTCACTTAGTTCTAGAATATGTTTTAAAACTATACATAAGAAAAATATGAAATTATTCATATAACTTTAACATTAAAAAGTATGACTGAGCATCTTCAGAGTGACCAACGTATGGTGAGTAGGATCCCAGGCTCCTGGAAAGACCTGGAAGTCCACTTGGATTTACATATCAGAAACCAATTTAGTCTTCTGAGGCCCTGTTCGTGAAATGTAGCATGAAGTGGGTACATATTTTAGACTATCTGACTTGCCTTCTAGCTCCTTCAGTACCCTCTCCACCTGTCTACCTACTTCTTTGAAATAACATACCCCGTAATTAAAAAGTGGCTCAGGGTTTTGCCTTAAGTCCCAGGTGAAATTCCAGTGAAATTAGTTTGTTCCCCGATTGCCCAGACAATCACATATGAAAGGTAGCCAGTCTAGTTTCCTCAGTAATCAAGATAAATGTTAGCATTTCTCTGTTAGGATCACCTATCCATCTGCCACTCACTGATTTGCTCACTGGAGGCTTGGAGTAAATGAAGAATTGCTTTTTGGCAGGACAACAGATTCAGCAATCCCATTTAGTAAATCAGTTCTCCATTTTTTCCACCCCATGAGAGGAACAGGCCATATTTCAAAATAGAGCTACAATCATAAACCTTCTCAAATTTCCAATAACTAACATGAAATAGTGTCAAATTCATAAAACTATATATGTTACTACTAAATTAGGTAATCTAACTTGGGGGCAGAAGGCAGGAGATTATGAAGTAGAGAAAGGAAAGATGCTAGAGTGTTCTGAGCAGATTCCTAGAAGGTAGAGCTTGGGGCTTTGACAGTACTAGGGAAAGTTTTCAGGCCTGTACAGAGGGGAGCAAAGGATTTACACAGGAGATTGACTTCACTCATACTGCAGTCTGTCCCAACTCCACTAAGAGCTAGTGAGTCATTCATCCTTCTTCCCTATTGGAGGTCTTGGATTGATTGCTAAACTTCTCACATCCATCCTGGGGGTTCACCCTGGCGCTGCTGGAGTTGGGATTGGTTATACAGCATATACAGCATCAGTGCAGGGTAGGGGTTTGTTTGGTGCTTAAATGTTAACAATCTAATGCAAAATTAAAGAGTTGAATTACCAGCAGTAATTGTTAGCAGAGCCCACATAATCTCGATAGTAAACTTAAAAAAACAAAAATTTTCTGCAAATCAGCCATAAGTGGAGTACCAACTATACTTAGCTCCTAGGCTATTTCATCATTCATTTAAGTAAAATATTAGTGTAACTTGTTAATGTATCCTTATAGATTTTTGTGTGTGTGTGTGTCATTGTAGCTAACTGTATTCTCCATATTTGCTTATATTCAATAGGAAAATATACGGAAAGTATTTTGGGAGTCATTTAGCTGATAATCTTGATATTGATGTGCATATATAGATTTCCACGTAATTTACATGCCTCTCACTGCAATAGTCCCTGGATTAGCTTGATTTTCAGAGTGTTATTTTAAGCAGAAGAGAATTAGATGTCTCTTAGAGACATTAGATGTCTATTAGATGTGTCTGCTTATTACTTTATGATTGAGAACTTGTTTGTGGTCACTTTAACTATCATAGGTCTTCAAAATAATGTAATAACCTAACACGTGATACCATTAATGTTGTTCTTTTTTTTTTTCCTTTTTTTGTCTTTTTTACTGACCGGTAATGGGATCACAACCCTCGGTATTGCGCCCACACCTCGCTCAGCCAGTGAGCAGGAACCGGTCTCCACATGGGATCCGCTCCCAAGCGGCGCACTCTCCAGTGCGCCACCGGGCCGGCCCATTAATGTTGTTCTAAAGGCCCTAAATGTACACATATTTGTCATTTTTCATCTCCTTCATAGTGAGTGATGCTGAATGAGGGGTTTGGGAAGGAGTGAGGGAGTTTACAGATTATGAATGTGGCTTCTTGCTGGAAGTAAAGTATTCAATTGCCTGGGGGCAAAGGGATCCAGGAGTCTCTGAGCAGCTAAGTGTTTCGGTGAAAAGAGGAAGATAGGTTGTCTTTATCTATGATTAATATCTTTTTCTTTAACTTTGTCAGTCTTGGACAAAGATGTCACATCTGCTAAAGCACTGTATGAACATTTGACTGCGAAGAATGTAAAACTGAATGATCTGTTTCTAAAGCGTTATGCATTTTTGCTGAAGGATGTTGGAGAGTCTGTTCCTTTCACTGAGCCCCCCGTGAGTATTTCTTAATTAAGGGGAAAAAATACCTCTACAGGTTTATGTATGCCTCATAATAATGTGTAAAAAAAAATGAGTTGAACACTTAATTACATGAAGATTAGATCTCTGTGAAGAAGTCTCAGGGGAGGGCTTAAGGGACCTAGCAGCCATGCCTTGGCTGTGGCTAGGGGAGAACATAGCCCTCTGGGGCTGAGGTTTAAAATACAATGTCTGTCTCAGATCTTCAGCTGTAGGTGTGAATTTATCAAATGTCCTTGGGGCTGTTCTCTCATCATTTCAACTTGAAACAGGATTTAATGGCCTGTGTTTCAATAGCCAAGCATATTACAACTCTGTTCGTTCCTTGTTCGTTTTAAATAAGTTGGTTTTTATTTCTTTATCTAGGAAATTTTGTTTTATTTTGTTTAATAAGAGATAACATGTATGCAAAATTTTTCTTTATTGTGTCATTGAACTGAAAGTCACTACACCATGTTTATTTCAAACACTTTAATCTTTCATACCCAGGTATAGTTTCACATGTACGTACTCAGCAGAGGCTCCCAGTGCTAGCTTTAACTCTGAACTTGGGGCCCCAAACTTGTGATTTCATGAAACAGGAAGGAGTGCTAAAGCTTGAGAGGTGGCATTGGCATGGGCCCAGCAGTCTTAGCTACCACTTTGCAGTGCTTTGTGATTTTTAAGTTCTGTACCATCATCTCTTGCTGGTAGCTTTATCTGTAACTTTCCTCCCTTTTTTTTCTCCTTAACAGGAAAGCTTTGAATTTTATGCAAAGCAGCTAAAGGAATCACAGGAAAACTCTTTTTGAAATGAGCAGGCTCTACTTTGTTTTGTGTGTATTTGTGATTCTGTGTCTAAATGTTATTTTTAAAATGTATTTGAGAAGAAAAAATAAATAAATGAAAAATTACTTTGTTTATGTACTTTTATTTGTAATATATGATATGTTCCATATCTTATTGACAACTGTGTACACTTAGTCACTAGACTTTTTGGTTTTTGTCTCTGACATAAATCTACAGCATTTCTTTAAGGCTTCTGATGCATGAAGCCATAATTGTTCAGGGTTCTTCTCTCAACGGACTCTTTCATTCCCCTGCTCTGTTTGCTCTATTTGCTCTATTTTCATAAAAATATTATTAATTTAAGACTTGCTTGTTAGTATTGTTTATCTGAAAAATTTTGGAGCTAGATAAAATGCTCAGTGAACTTCCTAGTGCTTAATATTCTATGATACAACAATTCCTTATGTGTATGAAGTCCTGCATAATTTTCTAATTTTGCAGAATGTTAGTAGTAAGAGTCGTCAAATCTAGTGCTTGTCATTTTCCAGCAAGAAGCAGACTCAAAGAGACTGTCACTTACCCTTGGTCAGCGTGCTGTTTGCTGACACCTGGAGGCTCCTCAGCACGCTTTTCCTTTTTCCCTTCTACCGTGATGGTTTCCATGAGCCTGTTTATAGAAGTCTCTACAATTGAGTCTTGGTTATAACTTACCATGAAGTAGAGCAATGCATTTCCTCTCATTTTGGTTGAAGGTCTTTGCTGACACAAGCTATACCCTACGCCAGCCTCGTTACTTCATGCTCACATCTTCTAAATATGTGATATCATATGTGAAAGGGTGAAATCTTGGTTTATATTCAATTTTTTTTTTTTACAACTCTGTATTTAGTTTTTAAAAATAAAAGTAAAAATAAAAATACCCTATATTGGCTCTCATGCCTGCTAATATCTACATTGTAAGTAGTTATATTTAAAAAAAAAAATTTAAGATAGGTAGTCAAGATAGTTTACCACTCAAAGGTGTCTTAATATGAAATATTGACCTATTTGGGGATGAGGTAATTAATTACCCCAAATGCTAGAAATATTTTATTTGGGGATCAGCTCCTTCTTGTATTCTTTGTCCAATTGAATTTGATGACTACCCCCTGTTCTGGTTTCCTACCATTTACATCAAAGGGAGACCTTGCCTTTGGAAGTTCTCAGGCCCCTTGTTTGTGCAGTTATCCTTGTTTCTTCTGGGACCAGCCCTCCTTCATCTAGTGCCTGCTTGCAGATGGCATGAGACGGAGGGCTGATGGTGGGAGGCCAAGAAGTAAATGTCATCATAGTAGTAGCCATGCTTTTTCTTCACCTCTGTCCTGTAGTTAGACGTAAGGAGGTAGGGGGCTTGGCCAGTGCCTAGAGGATATGAGGCTTTGTTTTGTCTATTGCCCAGGTGTAGGACCTGTACATGTTGTAGTGCTGCTATTGTCTGATTTTCCAGGAGCCTCACTCTTGTGCGTATGTCTTTAGTGATTCCACTGAAGTAGGCCTTGATTTTTGCAGTCATGCTATAACTATAAGTTAGTTGAGCTACATTTTATTGATGTTTATTAACATATCCTTGGCAAGGCACATCCTTGGGGCATAATCTGGACTTCATATCACGTGGGGAAACTGAGAGTACAACCAGCCCTGCAGATGGACTCTGGTAAAATGGGGGTGTAATACAGAGGAAATAGGTAAAAACTCGTCATCTAGCATTCTAAACAGCAGCCGGAGACCATTAAATACATGTGTTAACCAAGAATTATCTAGTCAAATATCTTTAGCACTGAATTGCTTCCCCTTTTGAATGTAAATATCTAAAGTATAGTAATTGTATATCCTAGGTGGGTTTATGAGTGCTTTCTAAAAATCTAATAGGTATATTCAAATAAATAGAAATATAGAGCAAACAAAATTATAGCAACTCTATAAGACATGTTAGACTTAAATTATAAGCAAACATCTAATTCTGAAAAGTAAACATACCATTGCAAACTTGGAAAGAGGAGTATTTTATATGTAATTATGTGCTTATGTATTTGAACCTAATCTAATTTTAATGTGAAATGCTTTGAATAAAGTATACACCAAATATCTGTATGCTTCTTCAATTTTATCTAATGTTTGCGTGAGTTCTTTAAACCATTTCAAAAGATTCCAGTTGCAAAATTTTAAATTAAAAGGTGTGTGGTGAGCTCTGTAGTGGCCAGAATTTCCTACTTAAGTGGCCTACAGTTTGTGTGTGGAGAACCAAAGAAGTCACTGCTTATCTGTTTTAAGGACATGCAGGTATTTGAGATCTTTGAGGGGCAATGTTGGCAAGAATCAGAAGATAGAGTTGGGATGTATGGTAAAGTGACACTCAAAACGAAGGGTGTTTTGCTTCTTTGTGTATGACTGGTATTCATCCATTCCACACACATGCAGGCTTCAGCACCTGCACCCTTTTTTGTGAATGCTCACTGAGACCACCATCAGTATCACCCCTCGGCTGCTTTCTGGGGCCCCTCATTCCCACCCGGCATATTAATTGTGTTCTCTCAGGGCTTCCACAGCCACATCCACAGAGCAGCTATGACGCGGATTGTGTGCGGACTCCCTAAGGACTGCTTCTCTGTGTATCCCCAGACCTATCACAATCCTGGCTGCAGGCTCGCAATAAATGGAGTTTTCTGTAGTCAGTTCTGTGTGTTCGATGAGGTTAGCACTGAACACTTACAACCATGTGTCAGGCACCCTCTTGCCTGATATTCACGGTGAGAAAACTTAGGCTTACAGAATTGAATTTGTCCAGAATCACAACAATAACTCACACGGATAGGACTCTGACTATTCATTTACTTCTTATGAGAATACAAAACAAGCAATCCAGTTTAAAGTCAGTTTAAAATCCAATTAAAAGTCAAATTGGAATCTAAATAGTAAGAATATTCTATTTAAAGAAACCTTTCATATTAACAACTTTTCCCAGTTTCTGGACACTTTGCACTTGTTATTTTCTTCCATTTAATCAAATACCCAGCGCCTGGCATCATCACCAAGTTTACAAGTTCCTGTAAATCATTAAGTAAGCTTTATATTGCAAATTGTTCTTCCTGGTACAAGCTATTTCTCAAGTCTGCAATGTGTGCATTCTGCATACTTTTTCTCATGTCTTTGAGTACAATTTTCATTTAATAATTTGTCTTTCTGACAAAGCCAATATTTGTAGAATTTCTATAAGTGAAAGCAACAATCCTGAAGTATGGTTGAACTAATAGCTGCAGGGGTTACAAAATCATGGTAATTTATCGCTTTGCTGTTGTACAATCATGCATGGGAGTGTTTGCATTAGAGATGTATACTGCTTTCAGGCCCAAGGACTTTACAAAGCCGGTATTATGCAGCCTTAATACAAATAAAGGAAATGACTGCATTAGCAAATCCAGAATAGGCACTTATCTTTTTCTTTTTTGCATGAAGAAAAGAAACATAAAGTCTAGGTAGAACAAAAGCATTTATCCAGCTTCAGACTTACTGCCTCTGCTGTGAGTTTGGACAATGGTTGGCTGTTGAGAGCCATCCTTAGAATTTTCCTAAGTAGTATTTTCACCAATGCAGCTCTCAGATGTATACTTGCTGAAATTCTCTAAATTATGTATTTGTTTTCGTCTTTCCTCCCTGAGGATATGTATGAGCTGTCCCAGTGTCTGCAGACCTACCAGTTAGAACAGACCCTGGCACTGGTAGGCGCCCAGTAAGCATCACTGAGTCAATTAGCTCAACACTGTGTCTTTCCTCTGTCCAAGTCATGTTCCTTCTGGATGTATGGTTCACATGCATTGCACTGGAGGTTTCCTCCCACACGCTTATCTTCATAAGGGATTCAAAGGTGCCACTTTCTGGTCATTAACTCTGCAGCTCAGAGCTAGGACATTGGAAATTGAGGCCCAAGGAGACCTTCAATACCCAAGTGCCCACATAACTGGAGGTTTCCTCCCACACGCTTATCTTCATAAGGGATTCAAAGGTGCCACTTTCTGGTCATTAACTCTGCAGCCCAGAGCTAGGACATTGGAAATTGAGGCCCAAGGAGACCTTCAATACCCAAGTGCCCACATAAAAACATTTTCAAGTTTGGTGTCAGGAGGAGGTGGTCTCTTAAATGTGATAAAAGTCATACAACCTCAAGCTGAGCCCAAACACGGTGCAAGGCTTCTATGCAATAGAGTAGTTGAGAAAAATACAGAGCTTTATTTTTAGCATGGGGCAGTAGAGCTTTTTAGCAGTTTGGGGAAACAAGGGATATTTGCAGTTTTACAAAATGACAAGACAATCATACAGATGATAAATGTGAGCACAGTTACATAGAAAGTAGAGAAGTGTTACTGATTTGGAATGTGTTTAAGAATCTCAACTCACTGCTTAAATATTATTGTTTTAATTATTAGCTGCGAAAGGCACATGTGCTGCTGTTCCCAGCTCAGCAGAAAATGGGCTGTGCTCCATCTATCTGCCTGCCTGCCTGTCTGCCTCCCCTGCCGAAGCTGCCTCAGGCCGAGGCCATGAGATGGGGACACAGGATATTACTATATCCAGGCCACTTTAAATGAACCAATCATGATCAAGCTACGAATGACAGATGAGATTTGAATTACCACATTCAAATTATTTGCAAATAAGGATGTTCATTGTCTTTCAGGCAGGAGCATTGATATATTTTCCAAATAAGCACAGGTCAACCAGCAAAATGCTTCATCACTTTCCCTGCTTCCCAATCCCTTGCTCACTTCTTCATAGGCTGTCTTGTGCTCCAGACATCAAGGCGAGTTGGCCCCAAAGAAAAGTGATTTGGGGGACTGTGCTAAACTCCTCTGCTAAGTGACTAATATGAGTCTCGATAGAATCCCTGGTCCAAAGTCTGTTAATGCTTGGATTTGACATAGATTTAAATATCTCTGCTGCTAGGTGCTTAATCTAGGATCAAGACAAGAATTAAAGAAAAGTAAGAGAAAAGAAAAAAGCAAATGCAAAATCTATATCTGTAGACTGGCTTAACCCACGCAAGACTGAGTTTTATATAATCTTTATAGGAACATGAGCCGTTAAAAAATATATATAAGGGCCGGCCTGTGGCTCACTCGGTAGAGTGCGGTGCTGATAACACCAAGGCCCCAGGTTCGGATCTTATATAGGGATGGCCGGTTTGCTCACTGGCTGAGCGTGGTGCTGACAACACCAAGCCAAGGGTTGAGATCCCCTTACCGGTCATCTTTAAGAAAAGAAAAAAAAAAAAAATATATATATATATATATATCGGGAAATATTTAAGTCAATATAGGTAATTATTTTCTGTGTAATTAAAACTCCCCCATCAATAGCATTGTTACCGACAGGCCAGACTTGGCTTGCCCTCTAGCATTAAACAAATGACCTGCAAGTCCAAAAGTTGATGCAAGGATTGGAAGGTTTATTCAGATTACTGGTACTCAACTAAATGCCTAACCAAGCAAACAAACAAAAGAGGAGCAGTGGGGTCTAGTATAGCCTAGTCCCAATCAGCGGGGCCAACCTATTCCATTAATAGCAATTGATAAAAGCAGTTCTCCACACTGTTTTCAGCATAAAGAAGAAAAGTATCGACTAGATTTATAAATCAGAGAAACAAAGCATAGCCAGGAGCCCTCCAGGGTGCACCTACTTAGTAGTGGATACAATCCAACCAAATAGCAGAAGAGGGCTCAGAAAATCAGAAAGGTAAAGAGAATAAAGTATTGCCTTGCCGGAATTTAGGCCAGGGACTCCAGGAGAGATCTACCAGCAGCAGAGACATGGGAGCAAAATAGTCCCAGTGGCCACTTGCCTCTTGCAGCTAGAGTCTTCTCTGGTGCCCAAAGCTTTCTAATTTTTGCCAGTAATTAAATTAGGCTCTCAGATCCCAAAGTCATAGAAATGAACAATGTACCCAACAGTAAAGCAAGCAACGCTTTATTAAAAGAGGAGATAGACTTATGCATGGGGAGTAGCAACAGTAAAGCTGGCCCCCTGAGGGGAGTTGTGTTGTATAGGGAAAGGAGTTAAGGGGTACAGGCCAGCATCACTGGAGGTGGTCCTTTCTGTTCTTCCTGGCTGCATCATGGGCGCATGCTCAGTAGGTACAAGGTGGCAGTAGTGTTCATCATTGTCACCCCAGGAGGGTCATTGTAGCAGTCACCTTGATGCTTTGTGCGCAGGTGGGAATTCCTAAAGGGGTCTTAAAGTTGACCTGTAACTTTTGTTATTATGGTAAAACAAGCCTTGGGGAGGGATTTTGCAACTCAGTAAATATCTGTTTTCTCCCTTATCTCAGTCTATTTTGTCAGGGCAGCCCTTGGGGTAATCATTTGCCCTGGGGGTCTCATGACTGAGGAGTGGAAAAGTAATGAAGTGTCCTCTATAGGGAAAATGGAGTCAGTTTGGTTCACAGGCCTAGCCTTACTCTGTTTCAGCATGACTTGAATTGGAGGGCTTAAAATGCAAATTTCAAAACCTTTATCTTTTGATCAAGGATCTGCAAACAATAGCCTCCCACCAAATCTAGCAAGCTGCCTGTTTTGTAAATAATATTTTATTGGAACACAGCCACACCACCCATACATTACTTTGTGGCTGCTTTCACATTATAACAGCAGAGTTTAATAATTGCAACAGAGACTATATGGTCGACAAACTTGAAATGTTTACTATTTGATCCTTAACACGAAGTTTGCAACCCATCTTTTGATCATTACAAATGAGCAATGCAGGGGCAAGGCTCACTGAACAATATGCATGCCTCTATAGCCTTGGTTCTTTTCCCTGGCTTCACATGCACTGGGGAGCATTTTAAACAAAACACACCTATAGGATTCGAATCTCTGGAGACGGGTGCATTTATTAAAGCTCCAGTTGCAACCAGGGTAGAGAACCACTGCTCTAGAAATGGCAGCTGCTGGAGCTTCTCCATCTCTCCTGCCTTTGCACCTCGTCCCTTGTCCCTGCAGCTTGGCATATAGAGCCCACTGAGTTATTAAAGCCCTTTGCAGACTGAATGGAAAACTCACCAAGTCAGATGACGTATAAAAAACACTGATGTCCT